AGCATGGTCCTCCATATCATCAACCACCTCCTGCTGGTTTCAATCCTCAAGGTTGCGTATTTCTTTACTAGGAGTGTTTAAACTTAAAATAGAAGCGTTCACTCGAAGTTTTAGTTCTGTTCTCTATTTCTGATTCCATATTTTTTGTTCTTAAAAGCTTTTTATAATATGTTCTCCTTCCCATGGCTTATGAAGTTTTTACATAAGTTACACATGTATAAAATGTTATGATCAACTTTGTGCAGGGTTGAAGATGACACATTGATATTTCTAATAATTCTATCTCTTTCTACTTCTACTTGTTTATTTTCTTGCATTTAAAAAATTAAGATTCTAATATTATGAAAAAGGGTGTCGCAAATTTATAAAGCTAATTTCGTTATGCAACTTACGATTCTCGAAAAGTATATAAAGACATGAGTTTAAAGAAAACTTTGGAAAAATGAGAAATTGATTGTATGTTCTGAAATTTAAAATCGGTAATTCAAAAGGATATTTGTTGTGATTGTTTTATTTCAGTATTCATGCCACCACCTCCGATGCACCCCGGCTTTGATGCCTACGTTGAGGGTGGAGGCGTTAAGTCTGATTTTGGCTTTAATTCGGCATCTATTCGAGCAGCTTTTGTCCGAAAAGTTTTCATACTTGTTGGTATTATGGTATGTCAATCAATCTCAATTTGTATAAGATATTGACAGCTTCAGTTTTGTACATTGAGAGATGCTCTTGACGTGTGGAATGCAATAATCATTGTAGGAAACATTCATTGAGAGTAGAGCGATGAACAAACGTTTTAACCGTATAGGTTTGTATACTGACTGAGAAGAATTTTTATTTGGAGCGTAATTAGAGTTTGACATAAAAGCTAATTATTTGATTTGTTTTAGTTAACAGTGGTAACACTGATGACTGCCATACCATTCGTTCATCAAGAAACAATGACATTTGTACGAAGTACTCCGTCATTGTATTTTGGGAGTTACGTCATTTTTATGGTGATTTACTTCACATTAATGTGCTGTGAAGGTGTGCGAAGGTTCAGTTTTTGATATTTTTTTCTTTAAATATTAGAGCTGAAACACTGTCAAATATTAATGAAAACAATAGATTTTGATTAAAACAGAGTGTAATCTATCGTACGTCTTTTTCCTTTGAACGTGATCAAACACTGAAAATGAGGAAGCGAGGCAAATTGTAATAGTTTAGTTTTAAATCAGCGACTTTTTAAGAAGAAATGGAATTGCTCCAAATGCTTTGTAAAATTTAATTGATATTAACTTAAATTCCAGATCATTTCCGGGCAATTTAATTGCACTAAGTATCTTAACATTGGCGATCGGTTACATGACTATGATGTTTTGTTCTTATCACAGAACTACATCAGTATTACTTTGCTTGACAATAACGGTCGTTTGCTGCGCTGGGATCATCATTTTTTCATCGCAGACGAAATACGATCTTACAAGGTTTGTGGTGAATTTTTAAGGTCTAAAATGCTTTTTATTAGGTCTGCGAATGACAGTCCCAATGTTAGAAACGTTGAAGACTTGGTTAATCATCAGCGAAAGATTTTATTTGAGTTTCTGATGTTAGATGGGATTTGGAAGTTTTTTCAATATCGTCACAGTCTTCCGGTGCTAAGTAGATAAAACACTTCTATTCCGGTACAATGTGGGTTAGGTTACTGAAATTAAATTAATATATTTATCTTTAAATATTTGTCCTTAAATTAATATGGAAAAATGCATTTATGACGAGAACCTAATATGTGTGGATTCGTAGAAATTTTGGTTGATATTCTCAGATGGACTGTGACGTTTGTTTAGATTTTGTAATATGGATTCTGTAATATTTCTGTAATAGTTCAATCAGTGAAAGTAACATTATAGAAATAAAATATATCTTTTCAGTATGTATGGCATTCTGTTTATCGTTTCATTGGTCCTATTGGTTTTTGGTTTCGTTGCAGTTATTGCCGCCGTTGCATTTCATGTGAGATGGCTGTACACTGTTTATGCTGGACTCTCTGCACTGTTCTTTATGGTTTATTTGGCTGTTGACGTTCAGGTAATTTTTGAAAAACTTATTGAAAGTATAAATTTGCGTAATGAATTCTAGGACTATCAGTAAAGTTTTTTTTCGAGATCTTTTTGTCTCATATTCAGTGCACTGTTTCTTCATAAATTAAGATGAGAAGCGATGTGCAATTTTATGAATTGTTAGGAGTATAAGAGTCATGAAAGTTGGAGAATATCCATTTTTTTTAATGCTTTATTTAGTCGTTTTCATATGGATTCACGATGGATAACATTTAATACTTGACTGAAATATTATAGACAATAATGGGAGGACGAAAGCATGAAATTTCGCCTGAAGATTACATATTCGCAGCAATTCAAGTTTTCCTGGATATTGTTTACATCTTTTGGATGTTGCTTTCTCTGTTTGGTTCAGACAAGTAAATTTTTGCGGATCATGTGCATGTTTTTGTATGCATGTTAGTTGCATCGTGCTTTATAAGTTATCGATTGCTGTTTTTATGTTTATTTTCTAAGACTTCATTATTTAAGCACTACGGTTACAAAAATATAATATGATTTGCCAATATATTTCTGTAATCGTAGTGCCTGAGATTAATCTTTCATTATTTTAATCATTTTCTTTTTTGCTGAAATGGTAGGCAACTTTGCTTTTTTTATTTGCAGTAGTTTCTGATTGTGGCAAATTAGCTCCCATTCTATGCATATGGATCAGAATTTATTTTTCATAGAATAAGTGTCATGAATTAATTCTCTTTAAAAAATGCTAGTAATAGTAAAAAGAAAACAGATTTGATAGTTAATCCATGAGAATATGATTTGAAAAATCAGAGTTTCCCATTAGGCTCACTCGTATCATTTGAGGGCTTTAGTTTACTCTGTTTCTAATTAACTTGAAAAAGTTGCAAGTATTTAGACCTATAAACGTAAATAATGGTTTACACCTTGCTTGGTCTAATGATATATATTAGTAAATGTAATGGTATATTAGTAAATTATGATAATTGTGCTTAACTGATGGAATAGTTATACCACGAATATTAGCAATTATATGGGAAATTGAGATTACCTTTCGAATAGATAGTTGAAAGGGCCATGCTTGTTGAATCGTGACTTATTGTATACGCTTCTCTTTACGTTAAATCATTTAACATTACATTTCATTATGATTTATGCGATATTTATTCCAAGAGGAAATTAAGACTTAGTAGATGTTCTGTTATATTCTGTAGTGTTTTTATTGTCAGTGGTCATATCGTATGCTTCTTATACTTCTTTCGCTCAGCTCAACTTTTTCGTCACGAAATTTTTTCTTGCAAAATTTCAAACACTATCATCTTCTTGGAATTTGCAAAATTTGCAATTTTTCATTTTAAAATTCAAGTTGAGTGTTCATTTCAGGGAATGAAAGTGAACAGAGTAAGCAATTATAAGGATTATACAGATTTATCGACTCGATTGTTTTTTCTACGAATTATGTTTTTTTCAAAAGCCATTTCAGTTTGGATTGTCTTTTTAGTTGATGTTTTTACTGTTAAGAAACTACCAAGTCTGTGTAATATGGTAAACACATCCATAAAATTTTTATTTGTTCATTATGAATTTAAAGAAAATGATCATATTTGTAAATGACTTATCTTTGTAAAGATGACCAGATGTGTATTAGGAGGATCGGCTTTGAACTATTAGCAAGTTGTCTCAACATCTGACATCCGATAATATCTTAATTGTAATATCGATAATATTGCTCCGAAATCGGCATTAAATGCAAAACATGAAAGAATATTTCATACTTTGCTTGTTTATTTTGTGAAAACTGTAATGATCCACCCCTTTTTTGAAATTATTATAATTCAATATTTCAGCAACTGAAGTGAGCTTATGGTTATTCTTCGAGCGTGTATGAGTTTGTTTTTGTACCCTGAACAAGTTCTATCAGGGATGGTCAATGGAGTTCTTTTTTTTCTTCTGTTTCTTATCTTTAATCATACTTAGATATTTTCCTGTTTTTTTCTTTTTGATAACAATGTTCGATTCATCTGCTCTTTTTATTTACACCTTACTATCAAATAAAGTGAATTTTCTGCAATAATTTTTTTAGCATTGACACGGAAGATTTTAAAGATATGCGTGTACATTGGAAAATTAGGAATGAAAAACAATAATTTTATTTTGAGCATTCTAAAACTTAAGGATTTATTTGTTAGGGCTTTGATTTGTGATTTTGATTTTGGATAACTCGGAAAATTAGTGTGTTTTGAAATGTCCTACTTGA